GGGAGAGGATTAAGTCATTAGCTGGCCCATCAGGTGAGATATCTAGGCCATTATCGCCCATCTTTCTGATTATGGTGATGATGGTCCATTTGCAATTCCCACACTATCTGCCTGACTATGGAGATTGGGGATTTTCCAGTCTTCCAAGTGACCTGGGCATGATCTCTTTGCCTTGCTATGGAGGCACTTGGGGTTCACTGCAGAGTGCACCTGGAGCCATGTGGAATTCATACACACACCAAAATTCAGAAAAATGCACTTTTGGTAACAGTTGTGACATAAAGAACTAGTAGAATTAAAATCATACCTTTAAATTACAATACCATATCCACAACCTAAATGTATTTACATAGTTTCATGTGGTTAAAGTGAAAATTTGGTATGATGTGATGTTTTGAAGAAAATTTTAAAAGATTAAAAAACACAATGTTAGTATTTTTTTAAAAAATAAATTTTAATTATTAAAAAAAATGTGGGGCTTCTCTTTTCTCCTCCCATGGAACCTTGCCCCATTCACACCATCTCTTCAGTGTTTTAAAGGGATGCAAGCGAATGCCAGAATTCATTTCTGCCAAAAGGCAGATGTTTGGGGAGCAGTGGTGTCACCTGGTGTGGTTCACAACCCCCACGCTCCCTATTGACTCCCAGGGTTAACAGTCATGTTTTCATTGCCTTATTATTCCTTTGGTACCCATGTATACTGATCCACTTCTAGGGCTTCAGTGTAGTTTTACCATAGAATCATATAATCATAGAGTTGGTGGAGACCTTATCATGCAAGAATCCACTACAGTTGGCCCTCAGTATTGGCGGACTTGTTATCTGTGAATTTGAGCATCCGTGGATGGCAAGCCCACATTGTCCCCGATGGTGATGCATGCATGTGGCTGCGCCACCATCAGGGATAGCCTATGTTGTCCCCAGTGGCTGAAGTCCCGTTGTCCCTTTTGGTGGTGTGACCACATGTACTTGCCACCATTGGGGACAACGGAGGCTTACCTGTAGTCCTGTTGTCCCTAATGGTGGCACGGTTGTGTACACGGATCTCCATTGGGGATAACAGGGGTTTACTTGAAGTTCCGTTGTCCCTAATGGTAGCATGGACATAGGCACACAGTGCCGTTGGGGACAATGGAACCTGAGTATCCTCAGATTTTGGTATTGGGGGTGTGTGTGCATTAGAACGGATCCCCCGCAGATAGTGAGGGTGAGGTGGGCATCCAATTGCTGTTTGAAAACCCTCAATGTAGGAGACTCCATCACCTTCTGAGGCAGTCAGGAAGTTCTTCCCAATGTTTAGTCAAAATCTTCTTGTAATGTGAATCTATTGCTTTGGTTCCTACTCCCTGGCCTTGTCTTTGACATTGTTTAATTAATGGTTGGCAAATGCCAGCATGGTGTAGTGTTGGACCATTCCCAGCTTGACCATGAAATCCATTGGTTGACCTTGGGCAAGTCGCATACTCAGCCTCAGAGGAAAGCAATGGCAAATCTCCTCTGAACAAATCTTGACAAGAAAATCCCATGATAGAGTTGTCTTAGGGTCACCATAAGTTGGAATTGACTTGAAGGCTTACAACAACAACAAATTCTGTATTGCAGTTACGGATTTGTAACTTAGAGTTACAGATCTATAACTGCTCTGTGTTCACAACACTACATAGGAGATTATCAGATGGGAGGGAAAAGGATAGGATCGCTGCCATCCTTATCATGTCTGTCAAGTGAAATTATGCACGCTCACGCGAAAGACTTTCATACATGTTGCGCTTATCCTGTCCTTATCCTGTCAGTGAAGTGAAATTGTCCTGTCACTGGTTAATAACACAAACTTCTGTTAATGAAAAATGACAGAATAATTCCACTTCACTGACAGGATAAGGACAAGATAAGCATGATGTCATATGAAAGTCTTTTGTGCAATTGTGCATAATTTCACTTGACAGACGGGATAAGGACAGGAAAAGCGTGATGTTGTACGAAAGCGTTTCGCACAATCATGCATAATTTCTATTGACAGATGGGATAAGGATGGGAAAAGGACGGGGAAAATACATTCTTTTCCCATGTGATAATCTCCATAGTCATGACCATGGCACTATTGTTATGACTGTAAATGCCCTCCCAGGTCTACCTTAGCAGGCAGCAGCTGCACCAAGAAATGGAAGTCTTCTCAGCGGGCAATTGAGGCACAGGAGGGTTAATTTTAATTTGAAATACCGTACTATATACAAACCATAAAAACAGTACCACCCAGCATTAAAAGCCCATCCTAGTCAGTTTCTAAACAGCTGATGACATAAACATTTTCACCTGTCAGCAGAAGAGAGCAAGGATGGAGCCATCCTAGTTTCACTAGGGAGGAAGTTCCAAAGTCTGGGAGCAGCCATGGAGAAGGATATTTCCTTTGTTCCATCCAAATGAGCTCGAGAAGGTAGAAAGAAGGACTTCTCCAGAAGATCTTAGGGCTCTAGTGGACTCATAACTGTTTGCAATATAGACAAAATGCTTTGTATACTCTAAAATTCTCCATGTTGTGTGCCTTCAAATAATTTCTGATGAATGGCGACCCTTTCACAGCATTTTCTTGGCAAGATTTCTTCAGAGGATGTTTGCCATTGCCGTCCTCTGACACTGAGAGAGTGTAACTTGCCCAAAGTCACTCAATGGGTTTCCATGGCTGAGCAAGGATTCGAACCCTGGTCTCCAGAGTCATAGTCCAATGCTCAAACCACTACACCACACTGGCTCAAAATGCTATATAAATGGTAAGTTATAGACACAGTTCCTTTGATTCCACTCTAATGGAAGAACAATTAACTGCAAGAAATTGTGGAATGCCATAAGGAAGCTCCTTTGTAGCTAATAAACAGCCCTAGATCTTGGATACCCATGAAGCCACAATTAGCTAAAACACCTTCACAAAGTCTTAAGTACCAAACATTTCCATGCACACCTCAGATGTGACAGAAGAATATGTTGCCAGATTGTATTCCTTGCTGGAGAAATCTTTTTAATGGAGCTCAAGTACCGCAATGCCTTTAACTGGGTTACTTCTGTAGCAGCTACTTCTGGCTCACAGATAAAAAGTGTTAGTGACTCTCTTGTCAATTTCTCATGTTTTCATGCAGCTAACACATTGGTCTAGGCTGATACCATATCGGCACTATTATAGTTCACATCCGCTTCTGCATTCTTTGGGAGTTCCATATTGGTAAACCGTTGTCCGTAGAATACAGTCAGCCCTCCTTATCCATAGATTTTTTTTATCTACGAATTTAAACATCCATGGCTTGAAAAATATTCCAATTTTTTAAAAATAAATTCCAAAAAGCAGACCTTGATTTTGCCATTTTATAGGAGGGACACCATTTTATTGTGCCACTGTATTTAACAGGACTTGAGCATCCACAAATGTTGGTATCTATGGAGGGTCCTGGAACCAAACTCCAAGGGTCCACTGTACACTACAAATGCCTTTAAACCAGTAACTAGTAATGAAAAAGTCATGAGGGGAAAAAAATCCTGCGATAGTATGTAATATATCCTGCACTTCCTGAAAAGAGAGCAAGTTCTACAGTTGGCCCTCTGTATCCATGGATATTTTTTATACACAGCCTGAAAATATTCAAAAATAATATAAATTCCCAAAGTAAACTTTTTTGTGTGTGTCATTATATATAAGGGAAAATGTTTTGCTATGCCACTGTATTTAACAGGACTTGAACATCCAGATTTTGGTATCCATTGGGGGTCCTGGAACGAAACTCAAGCAGATACCAAGTGCTCACCGCACTATTCAAACAAAAAATAACTAGTCTAAAGGATGAGGAAAAAATATGTATATATAAACTTTTCAAGCTGATGCTTTTGCCCTGAGATTCCTCCCCTTTGCAAGCACAGCAGCTAGGGCCAGAGTCTTGGGATATGGTAACTCTATTTGCATCAGGCATGGGATTTGTAATGGAGGAAGGGGAGAAATAAGGCATTGCTTTCCCATCACTTTTCAGGTCCAAATTGATCCTTAATCTGCTGTTTTTCCCATTTCTCATGTGATATTTGCCTCTCCATGTAGTACTTCTGAGTCCTGGGAATGAATTGGTATGGAATTTGGGAGGAGAAAGTGAGCAGAAGTCTCCACTCTACTCTTTTGGCTTCGCTGCTCCAAAAATTCATCTCATAGCTTACTTTTTAAAAAAATGTAGAAGAAAAAATGCTGTTGGGCCTTTAACAAAATTGTTGTTGGTGTGCCTCCAAGTCATTTTTGACTTATGGTGACCCATAGGGATTTTTGGCACATTTCTTCGGAGGTGGTTTGCTGAGGTTGAGAGAGTGTGACTTGTCCAAGGTCATCCAGTGGGTTTTTCTGCTTGAGCAGGGAACTGAACCCTGATCTCCAGAGTCATAGTCCAACACTCAAACCACTATGCCACACTGGCTTTTTAAAAACAAAATATATATTTGTATAAATATCTAATTTAGACTTTTTATGTTAAACGAAGATATGTGTGATTATTATTTTTTTAAAGTACTATTGTAAAAATAATAATTTTGCCTTCACTTTTAGTTTGGTTATGAAGTTCTTTGGATGAATGGTAAGTGCTTTGATTGATCTTAAAATATCAATGTTTCAATGGGCTATATTTTCAGTATTTCTTTTTCAAAAGTAACCAAATTTTGATTTTTTTCAAAAAGTATTTTAATACAGTACAGAAAGGGCAAATAAGGTAACTGTTTTTTTTTTTTTTTTTTTGGTGTGTGTAAAGTGTTTTTTTAAAAAAGTAATTGATACATGTGTTTCTTCAGAGAATAAGTGCAATTATAAAAATTATGAGTCTAGTTTGAAACAGTAAGAACTTCATTCAGAATGTGGCCTCCAGCTTTTTCTGCCCGCTTTTCATCTTTATCTTTCCCCCCTGTCTTTCCCCCCTTACTCAGGCTATATAGCATTTACCCTACAATAATGCAAACACAAATTTAAAATAGGAAGAAAACCCCATAGATTGCAACAGTGCACCAGTTTATGGTTGTTCTCCATGAATGTTTGCCTTTTTCAGCCAACTTATTATGGCAATGGATTATGGACTTCTGTGGTGTGATTGTTATTCAGGAGATTTTCAAAAGAGGCTCTGGAGACGGTATTGAAGTGGAATTACAGCTCCTCCTGCCCTTTACCGCATGACGCCATTGCTGATCTATTGTTAACCAGTTGCTATATTGTTATTACAGAACAACTTCTTATTCACGAGAGACACCCATGAGTGACTGTCAATCTTGCTTCATTCATGCAATTATGCATGTGCGGATCTCCTTATGCTACACTATCGAGATCACATTTCCCAGATTGTGTGATATTAGGCATGACTTGGAATCTCTTTTCCTCTAGTTTGAATCTTGCTCCAGGTCCTGTTCTCTGGAGCAGCAGAAAATATGCTCGCTCCATCCTCGATATGACAATCCATCAAATACTTAAATGGAGCTATCATATTACCTCTTAACCTTCCCTTCTCTAGGCTGAATATACCCATCCCACTAAGGGCCTATACAGTCTGGCACTTTGAGCTGGCCTTGGGGCAAAGTGGCGGGTGGTGACCACAAGCCACATGCCCAAACGCTGGCCTGATGCCAGTGTCATGCCGCTCGCCCAACCAGATGGTGGGCAGTATCACACCATTTCTTCAGCACAGTGCTGATTGTGAAGTTTCTTTAAGAGTTTGCATCTCTGAAGATGCCAGCCACAGATGCTGGTGAAACGTCAGAAAGAAACTCTTCTAGAACATGGCCACACAGCCCAAAAACCCCACAAAAAACTAAGTCTGCATACACTTTTTAAAATTGCTTTTCATGCATTTTAGTATTTTTAATCGGTTTAATGTATGATTGTTTAATTGTCTGTTTTATACTTTCATTTAACATTTGTAGTATTTTTAAATACTTTTTATTTCAACCAACATATTCTTGAAAAATTCACATTTGACAGAATTTCCATTATATCTTTTTTTTAAAAAACCCCAACTAACAATACTATTCAACCAAGAAGTAACAAGCAAAAACAGCAGCTATAGCAAATAAAACATTACACATCTTATTTGCTATTTCCTTCTACTTATTAAATTTTAAATAGTTTATACCTATCCTTATTGCTGCTTTATAAACTCAATTCCATATTCATAACTCAACCTCCTTCTTGTTTTTGTTGCTATTTCCATGATGTGTGCAGTTTCTCCATTACATAATTTTCCAAATGTATTACCTTGTATATTCTATCTATACTTTATCATTTTTCGATCCATTGAATATTATCATGTCATTCCTATTTATGTCTATTTGGTTTGGTCTATCATTTTCATCATCACTTATCCTGTTCAACAAGTCCATAAATGGTTCTTGTCTTAAGTGGGTTATAAAATTGCATTCAACCTTGTCCATCTATTTATCCAGTATCTTACAATTGGGTCCCAGTCTGTTTCTGCTATTTTCAAAGATTTATTGTTGACCAGATATGTGAGTCTATCAAGTTCTATCATATCTGCCAGTTTAATAATCCAGTCCAAACATTTCTAGTATTTTTAACCTGAATTATTTTAAAATGTTGTTAGCCACCTTGAGACCCACTTTTGGGAGAAAATTGGGATATAAATGAATAAAATAAAATAAAATAAAAAATTTGGAGTGGTAATTGGCAAGCCGAATCTTGGGATGATGCAGGCGGCTGCCTTTTTCCATTTGATTTATGTCAGATCAAGGCTTAAAACAGCTCTGATTCATATATTTTGTCTCATGTCAATATTTTCTTCTCTTTCACAAAATTTCTTTTAGACCCACCTAGAACTGGTAAACTATCATCCCTGTTGTCTAGATGGTTAGCTGCTCCGTTGGTCTGACCAAGAAAAATTCCCAGTTCAGTTACTGAAAGCCTTGCCAGGCGATACAGCTCGAAGCGCTAAGTCAAGTGTTCCAGCTCTTTTCAATTTCAAAGAGCTTTCTCAAACAATAATTATTAATTTTCACAGCCTCCCCTGTGGGGCAGATAACTGCTATCATCTCTGTATAACAGACTTGGAAGCTCAAGCGAGGAGGTTGGGGGACTTTCCCAAGAAGTGCCAAGAAGAACTTCATTGAGCAGTTGCGGGGGAGGAATTTTTAATCTGAGTGGTAATTAAAAAGAAGGATCATTAGAATTAAGAACAGTCTCTCCCAGCAGGCTCCAAAGCACTTTAAAGTAATAGGGCCAAATAACCATCATGCTCTACCTCTTTCTCTTTGACATGAGACACTGGTATTTTATTCAGGAAGTTTACCCACATTGTTTCCCTTGCTATGGGAGGAGAAATGAGGAAAAGATAAAGAAATTGAGGACACCTTCTTCTGCTCCAGATCCTGGGGGAAAAATAGCTTTTTGGACTACGACTCGGTGTGGCGGTTTATGCTGGTATCAGAGGGCTTGTGCAACTTTCAGCAGGATGCCATCTTGGCTCTTCAGCCTTCAAGAAAGTGAACCTGCTTTTGTGTGATGGCATTTTGTTGTTGTTGTTGCTGCATATTTTCAAGTCATTTCCGACTCAATCTTTTTTGCTCCTCTGCTCCAAGAATTTACCTCATAGCCTGCTTTTTTAAAAAATGAAAAGAAGGTGTTGGACCTGTTATAATAATTGATTTAATGTTTTAAAAACCCTTTGTAGATCTCCTGCCATGACTCTAGACTGGAGAAGCCCAACCATCATGGATCCAAGGCGAAGACCTCACGTAGGCACCTGAAAGGTCATGTCTGCATCTACAACAATTTGCAGATCAAAAGGGCCAGGCCTAGGAGCTGCAAAGCAGGACATTCGCACCTAGGAGATTTATCAGTATTAGCCAGGATGTGACCGGCTGAAGATGAGGTAACATCAACACCCCATCTCCCTCTCTGGAAATTGTCTACTTGAAAGAGTATCAATTCAGAACCCTTGGATACAATGGCAAAACTTTGCCTCAGGCTAGGTTTAAGGGTATAAAACAGGGATCGGCAACCTTTTTTGCTGGGGGGCCGGGGGGGAGGGGAATGGCCCGGGTCCCAGGTGGGCATGGGTGTGCTTGTGCGTGCGCGCGCTCCCCCATGTGCACATGCACATGACCCCACCATCATGTGCATACGCGCGCACGTGGGGAGCGCCATTTTGGAATGCCCCTTGCGCGTGCGCCGTATGAATTTGCCCAGCGTATGGACAGGGGGCCTTGGGAATTTGCAAGCAAAAATGGCACCCATGCTTGTGCAGGGCGTGCGCAGAGCAGCGGCGGCGATGGCGGGACCGGCCCGTGGATTGCTGACCCCTGGTATAAAAGATCCCACAAATCTCAGGCACATTGGGTCTGGTTAGATTTCATGGTGACACTGCACCACTGTGAACTCTGACTTGGGTCCCATCTCTTCCCATTGTCCTTTCCCTTTTCATAATGGTTGAGTCTATCCATCTTCATTCATCATTGGAGTAGCCTCCTTCAGATAATTATCGTCCTTAGAAAGCCTCCTGTTTCCTCTCCAACTAACTACTTTACTCCTGAGTTCTTGTGTGTATGATTGTATGTTAGAGTTTCTTTGTATGTTTGAATCACCAAATAAATTACAGTTCATTGGAAAGCTTTGTCTCTATCAGTCTATTCCCTAGCCACCTCCATAAACATAGGATAAATGATCCCATTGAAGACTTGGACTTTAGTAATTCCCCAGATTCAAATCCTTCTTACAAAGTGAACCTGCTTTTGCATGATGCATTTTGTTGTTCCTGTTGCATACCTTCAAGTCATTTCCGACTCTGTCTTTTTTGCTTCTCTACTTCAAGAATTCATGTCATAGCCTACTTTTTGAAAAAATGAAAAGAAGGTTTTCAACCTTTAACAAAATTGTTGTTACTGTGTACTTCCAAGTCATTTTTTACTTATGGGAACCCATAGTTGAACTTATCATAGGGTTTTCTTGGCAAGTTTCTTCAGAAGAGAGGTTGCCTTTGCCATCCTCTGAGGCTGAGAGAATATGACTTGACCAGGGTCACCCAGTGTGTTTCCATAGCTGAGCCAGAATCCAAACTGTGGTCTTCCAGAGTCCTAGTCCAATGCTCAAACCACCACACCACACTGACTCTCCATTTACACCAGTGTAAATCCACATCAGGATTCTGCCCTTTTTTTCTTTCATTTCTTTTTTATTAAAAGGCAACTAGGCTGCATCTACACTGTAGAAATAATGCAGTGTGACACCACTAACTGCCATGGCTCCATCTTACAGAATATCCTTGGATTTGTAGTTTTGTAAGGCACCAGCACTCTTTGGCAGAAAAGGCTAAAGACTTTGTAAAACTACAAATTCCCTTTAAAATTATTTTAAAATGGAACATCGATGGTACTTAACACCAACAAAAATAGCAAAAAATTACAAAACTTGTAATAACAAGCACTGGAA